CTCGGCTCTGATCCGGTCCAGCTCCTGGGTAAGAGCCAGACAGCTTTCCTCTGAGCCTACCGCCCTCTCCTCCGCAGCAGAAAGCCGCCGCGTCTGCTCGGTTATCCTCCCCTCAGCATCGGCAAGGGCAGCACTTAGCTTTTCAGCGCCAACCTTAGCCGACTCGGCGTCCTTGAGGAGTTGCTCGATTTGAGCAGCCTGCCCCGCCAGGGTAGAGTCCCTGGCAGCTACATCCTCCATTGCTCGGGCGAGGGCCCCCTCCGCCTCCTCCTTCTGCTCTCGGGCCCGCTGGAGGTCCATCCTAGACCCATGGTACCGAGCAGCTATTATGGAGATCTGCTGGGTAGCCTGCAAAGGAGGGAAAAAAGTGTTATCACAAAAATGGAAAGCAAGAGAGAAGGAACCAAAGCAAAAATGAACTCACCACCAGGGAATTCTGGATGATGGAGCGGAACAACACGTTGGTTGATCGCCCCCTATGAGCCGCCATGTCAGCCTCGAAATGCAGTGTCTCACTCACTGCATTGGCGACATGAGGATCCAGCAAAATGGAATCATCGACCCTGATCACTCGGTTCATGTGATCAGTGGCTCGGGGATTCCACTCCGCGGCCTCCACTGTAGGCGGAAGGGAAGGGGAGTCTGCTGCTGCTGTTGTTGCTGTTGTCGTGGCTGTTGCTGCTGCTGCTGTTGTGGAGGAGCAGGGGGTAACCCACGGCCTCTCCCGCTTTGCTGCTGAGCGGGAGGTGCCCTGGATCCTCGGCCGAGGCCATCATGCCGATGTTTGACCCTTCTCTCCTCCTCCACTTGAGGATCCCGGTCTCGCACCTGACCCCGACCGAGGACCCTTGAGGATGGGGTGGAACTGGTCCCTGCAGAGGGGTGCCGCCGGTCGATCCTCGACCCCTCCCGGCTGCGAGGGCTTGCCTCTGCCTAAGGAACCCCAAATCAATGCGAGGGGTGCTGGACATCGCTACCTCGAGGGCGTCCTCGGCGTCTAAAGGATTGAAGAACTTGGAAGTCTGGCCACAAGTCTCCTCCCGAAGTCCCCACCTCGGCGTCCGAAGGAACAACGTCCTCTCTGACCCCGAGCTCTTCAGCAACTCCCTCTACCTCTGCCTCCGAAGCCCGATCCGGGTCTTCCTCCAAGTTTTCCTCAACCTCTAACCTCGCCGCCTGATCGAAGAGTTCAGACCACCGCGAAGGCTCAAAAGGCTGAGGAAGCTGTGAAAATTTCTTATACCCGGGGGTATAATTCAGCAGGATGTGAGCAGCACGGCCAAACCCGTTGTCACCCGTGAATCTCCAAACCGTGATTAGGTCGGCAAAGTTCACCAGCGACCGAGGGGGAGGAGCTGTTTCCCGAGCAGGAATATCTGCACAAACAAAATAGTCATGAACATGGGAAGTCTGGAGAAAGAAATAATAAACCCAAAGGAACCGACGTACTTGTCGTTCTCCATTCCAGAGGGCATAACAAGTCATTATACTCGGGACCAACACCTCTCTGCCAAGATCCCTTGAAGATAAGAATATCATCCTTGTACCCCTTGTCCGAGTCGGAAGATGAGTTACAAGGTACATGGAGGGGTCCCTGGCTTTGAGGTAGAAGTGTTGGTGAGGCATGACTCTCAGGAGGGAATAACAAAAAAGGAGATCGTTGAGCCCAATATTTACCCCGAGGCGCCTATTGAGCTCTAAGACCCCCATAATTATTCGAAAAACATTAAGGCAACATTGCCCGGGGAAGAGGCGAAAGTGAGAAAGGAACTGAAGAAGTAAGGGGGGTAAAGGAAACCTAATTCCTCCCTCTATTATGGCCTTGGTATAAAAGGGCATGGCATCCTCGGCCCCGAGGGTAGAAGAGTGCAACACAGGGTCATAATCCTCTACGTCTACGCACGGGGGAATGCCGTACTTGACCTTAAACCTATCAATCTGCTCACCACCCTTTACTTTATATTTCCCCGACCCCGAAGGACCAGCCTGAGGATTCTCGGGAGCAGGGCGACGACGAGGCATCTCTAAAAAAGTAAGAAAGAAGAGGGTATTTGTTCTTGAAAATCCCTGAGGAAGTTTCCCGAGGGTTAAATCGCTATGTATCAACCGGAGACACCTCCAGTCAATCGGAAAACAAAAGGCTAGGAGGAAGAAAAGAAAGAGGATTCTGAAACTCACCCGAATGTCAAAACGGAATTTTTTCTGGAAAACCTTAAAGCGACTCCCTCCAGAAAGTTCAGAATCAACGATGGGTCTGCTGGCTTTAAGATCTTAAGGAAGAATGGGCAGTCGACGATGGAAGAAGAAACAAAACTCCGGCGAAGATTCAAGAAGAGGCTCTCTTGAGGAAGTTCGGAATGGCAAAACGAGGTAAACGGAAGAGGAGCCCCCTTTATATAGAGGCAATTTTCATCATTGGGCGCGAAAAACGAAACGGCGCATTTAATGCGCACGACATCCCAAGCCGGGGAAAGCGGCTCGAGACAATGATGAAGCACAGGTGGTTGTTGGGAAACCCTTCGTCTCCTTACGACGCGTGTCCTCGGTGTCAGAAGATCGAAGGCTGGGGGGCAGTTGATGGGACTTTTCTGAATACTCCATGATGAAGACACGTGTCCTCGGTATTACCAAAACACTGTTGATAAGATCAAGCACCATCGGCGCACAAGGTCCTCGCCCCCGAGGTACTCGTCATATAGGATCATGCATTCAGTATGTTTTACAACCAACACGTGGCCTCGGTCTGATATGTACCTCGGTCGGCATACCTCCCTCGGTCCCCGAGATGAGCCTTTCCTCGGTGCCGAGAGGTACCCCGTCCTGGACGCTTCCTCTACTCCAGGATAAGCTATTGACGTACAGGTCATTAGCCTAGGCTAGTCTAGGCTATTCATCATGACCTCGTCTTACACAATTAGTGTCAGAACGTACTGGAATGCATGGGTCACAGCCATTAGAGATGGACGCGTGGCAAATGATATCACATCGAAACAGAGAAAACGCATGTCGTTGCTGACACACCACTTGGGAAAGCAAACAATTAATTGCACCATTCCCTTGATGAGACCGCATTCAATGCGGTAAGGCTCGGAAATGAAAGGCAATAAATGCTCCTATTACAGAGCATTTATTGCATCCTCCCCGAGAGGAGCACATTGTACCGTCGGGACCCCGAGCATTTAAGAAGAGAAGACATTCCTCATCAGAATCAGTGCGCACACTGCCTGCACCTAATGATCACCTACTGACTACACTGACAGCAATCATGAGCTTTTGAGGTATAAATACTCCTTGCAAAAGGCAAGACGGGTATGCAACAACAAACTCTCTATTACAATACATTCTTAGTGTTTTCTCCTTCCTCTCTCTTTCTCAAAGACTGACTAAATCGTCGGAGGGGATACGCCGGAAAACACTCCGGCGCCCTTCTAATTTATTCTTCTTTGTTCCAGGAACCTCTTTCAGCCTTACTGGATAGTTCTTCCGTTCCCAGGATCTCCCATTGCCGTTCCAGGCTATCACCGTACCTTGCAGGTTGTTCCAAGCAGCGTGTTTGGTCACTCAACGGGCTCACTCGAAGTTCACCAAGGGAGAGATCTGTTCTCGTTTTTTATATTGTGCAGGATCTTGCACGCACAATAATATAATTGCATATTAATTGTGATTTTTAAGAAAAAAATAAATATTTATTTTCGATTTTATTTCAATCAATGACATAATAGTACATGAATTTGAGGGATTTAAATATTATATACCTAAATATAACATTTTAATTTTGAGGGGGTATTATATTTCTACAAATTTTAAGGGTTTTGCATATAATTTACTAACGGATATATTAACTAACATTGACGAACAGAAGTATAAGCGTTACACGTGTACAAATCTTAGAGGATTTATGTATAATATTTCAAATTATTAGAAGATATGAGTGATTAAGTGACAAATTTTAAAAATTTGAATGTAATTCACCTATATATATACGGATAAGAGTGACATAATCACATAATCATTGTCATGTTAGAGTTTAATAAAAATCTATGTGGTAAGTTAAACCCAATTATTTTCATGAAATATTTGTTATTTTACATGGATGGGGTAGGTACAAAATAATGTAAGGTTCACGTACTTACACGTCAGTTTATATTGTACAGTGACACACAGTAGTATTAACATTTTGTTATGTGTTAGGTCGAAGCACTTACCGCCATTGCACAGAAACTCGCATGTGTTGGTGAATGCTCAACTTCTTTCTTTTAACTAACTTAACAAGGAGAATCCATGCGTTGAGTTGGTTAAAATCTCTATCAAGTCTAAGGGAGACTTGTAGCAATTCTATCCAGGCTAATAATCTCGCCCCCCCCCCCCCCCCCCCTCCCATCCCACCCCCACCCCAAAAGCCACTACCTGGAACTCGAATCTGTGATCTCACTCTAATATTAATTGTTAGATCGAAACTTTTATCATTGCATCAAAGCCCATAGGAGTTAGTGAAGGCGTTACATTGAACATTTTCTCATACAATCTCTAACCCAAGGGCAATATTTTTGGGATTCTAATCAATGGCTTTTCCGTTGAAGTCTGGTTCAAACCCACATTTTTTATTATAAAATCGTGTTTTTTTTAAAGGTGTTCTATTACAATTGCTGAAAATGGTGTTTTGCAAATCTGATTTTACATTGAAAAGCATAACTTTTAACTATGTTTTTGTAAAAATTAGAAGATAAGTTGAAAGTAGGGTAATAAAAAGTAGGTATGAAAAAGTAAGGTAATAAAGAAGTAGGTATGAAATCCCCCTCAGTTCGGTTAAAAACTCATTTCTGGCAAGTTTTGGTCATGTGGGAAAAGGTTGAGCTTGCAATCTGCTAAAGATAAGTCCACAGCCCCCACACAAAACAATAAGAAAGAATAGAAAGGATAACCAACAGCTAAATAAGAAAGACTGAATCAGGATCAATGAGTTAAAGCGCACAGTGGTCAATTACCTTCCATGGACTAGATCTTGAACCACAAAATTTTCTGGTAGAGTCATGATTCAATGACCTTACTTGACATGATTAAATTCAGACAAACTGAAAATTAACCACAAAATTTTGCTTAAAATATTTGCATTAATAGGATAAACAAAGTCCTTTAGCTAGAGCTGAAAAATAAAAACTAATTTCAATCTAATTTCTAATTATTTGCATCACCACACTTCCTAGTAGTCTAGTAACTATAGAAATAACATAAAATTTTCACCATTATCATATGACTCATTAACAAGAGGATTTTGAAGGAATTCAATATCCATTGTTTGCACCCATCCATTCACTAAAGCTCGTTGTTTGTGGTGGTGGAGGGGGCAGCAGCGGTGGTGGTGATGGTGTCTTCCGCCTTGGCCTGCTCTCTAAACTTCTTGTATATATCCCCTTCGTAAAATTTTCTAGTCCTAAGAACCAAAATAAACGAAACCATACACCCGGCCAGTGTAGCCCCCGTGATTATCAGAAAAGCCAGTTTGTAACACTCAACTCCGATGCACGTCAAGTCCTCTCCGGCTTTCCGGTGAAGCCCCTTCGCCGCCTTTTGCTTTAAAGCCTCTTTGTCATAGAGATGACCAGCCACTCTAACATTGAGAAGATAAGCCCCAACAGGGCTTGCTCCGGCACCAAAGTTGTACAATGTGGAGTAGTATTTAAGGCCAAATAATTCTGAAATGATTGCGAAAATTAATGGCCATTGAGCTCCAAAACAGAACCCCATAATCACAGAAGAGACATAGAGAGAATTGGGTATGCCAAAGGCTATAAGAAGATGCCCAACACATGAGAAAAGAAGCACAAATGTTAGCATTAGGGGACGTGGGAGTTTGTACTTTGCCAAGAAGATTTCAGAACCGAAGCCGGATACTACTCGGCCGAGATAATTCCATATGCTCACCAGGGATATAAATGTGCTTGTGCTTGCATTTGGATACCCTAAAGACTTACCAATCTGACCCAAATTATCAATTGCCGTCAATGTCCCGCCCACGCCAAAAGTTGTTGCGGCGAACAGAATCAACATGTCGACGCTAAAAAGTGCTTGCAAAATGGTATAATCCTCACCTCTTTCCGGCGGATTGAACACGTTGGTCATGCATGAAACCGGCTCTTCTCGATTTATTGGAGACCCGGAAGCCGGCGGAGGTGGCTCTGAATGTGTTCGCGGCGGTGCTAATTCAATTGCCGGTATATTTTCAGTCACTACTTTCAATGGAGAAGGATCATCCACCACTTGTTTTTTTACTTTCCAAAGGCTGAACTCTTCTCTGATAACAACAGCCACCGGAGCAAATAGGAGAATAACTACAACTGTAGCACTTCCGGCGTACTCAATCCAATTAAAGGTGAGCCTATTTTGTAAGATAATGATGACCATAAGAAAACCAGCAAGACCAAGAGAGATATAGAGAAGATTATAGAAGACCTGGACCTCATTCACTTGTCGAACAACCTTCATGATACGAATTATTCTCAGAAAAATGAACGAAATCGCCGCCGGAAGCCAACCAATGAGTAAGATCAGAGACTTAGAATTGTGTCCATATAAAGCATGGTATATCTGTGTGATTATAGCACCACTGAGGCCAACAAAACCCTTCAAGAGTCCTAAAACAATGCCTCTACTCTCCGGGAAGTTCTTAACACAGGTGACTAAAGCCCCCGTATTTGCAAATGTTTGAGAATTTGCACCGATACATATATATAAACACATCTGCCAAACATGGGGTTTGGAGATTTTTCCGGTCACGGCGAGCCATATCATGAAGTAGCCGAAGAAGTTCATGGCGGCACCCATGGAGAGAACCACCCATGGGGGTGTGACCTCGTTTATGAGTCCCGATATGATTCCGACGTTGCCACCCAAGTCTTTGAAGAAGCTTAGGAGATTCAGGGTGGTTTGGTCGTAACCCAGTGATGATTTGATGTCGCTGGAGTAGAGACCGAACATGTAGGTTGCACCGGCGGCGGACATGATCAGCAGCGAAGCAAAGATCATGAACCACCGACCGGTAACGACGTGGAGGGTAAAGCTTCCCATCTCTCTCCAACTACCACCACCACTGAAATCGGCCACCGCCATGATTTTCAGTGAACACTCACTAACAGGGAGAAATTGAGAATTCGGTGTTTGGATGGATAATTGTGTAGAAGTCCCGAAAGCTGTATATTATAAATATATGAACAAAATACACGTTGTTTCGGGAGAAGGATGGATGGGATTAGGGGGTTTTTTTTTCGTGTGTAATGTTATACTTATCAAAATATTTATTAAAATGTTATTTTCCTAAATGAGTTAACAATTCTATATTCTATCAAAAATATTTTGATTAATATTTGGTGGGCATTTAGTAGATTCAGAAGTGATATGCAAATGTCAACTCATTTAGTAAAAATATTTTTTGATAAAACTTTTAATATCCATAGAATTTTTCTTTTTTTTCCATCTACTCCAACGTCTTGGGTTATGTCTATTTTAATTTTATATTATATTTGGCTTATGATTTTGCAATGTATGTGAGTTCACATAAAAGTAATAATTGTATTTTGTAATTCACTTAAATAAATTTGACTTAAAATCATCTCTTTGTTTTAGATTATTAGACACTTGAAAGATCAATATTATAATTTTTTTTTCTTGTGGTCCCACATCAAAAGTAAAGATTTTATTTTATATAAATTGACTTGGCCTTATCTTGAATTTGAACATTATGTATTCGAAGGGTTAATACTATAATTTACTAAATTAGTACCATTATCTGATTTCTACCTAATTTTAGTTCCACCTCCCATGTGATATTAGATGTACCTATGAAGATGAGTTTAGGGTCACTGTTCATACTAGGTCGGTATTAGAATCCCAAAGCTGGTACTTTGCTAAAAATTGTTAACAAACTAAGTATATATGGGACTCATGTACTAATAAACACTATCCCACCTACTTATACCCCATTTATCCCTAAAATAAACACACTCTACGACATCGTTTGGATGACTGTAATCTTAATCAGGAACATGTATCTTATTCCTAGTAAAGTGATACCTGGGTTTCAAATATCGTAGTAATATTCTATTTAATGTTTGATATCGTCAGTAATTTAGTATAGTAATGGATATCTATTTTAGTAATATTTTTAGTCATGAACTTTATTTTAGGAAAGAACATGATTTAAGAAAGATAGTTTGGCTTTAGCAACAAACTAAATATTGTGAAAGATTTTGAATTTGACTTTTTTTATTTTTCTTTTTTTAGAATACCCAATTAAGTTGGGTATGAAATTACCACCATTGATGGGGATTTAAGATTTCCACAATCATTGGGAATTTGATTCCAGTGGTAATCTTATTCACGATATAAATTACGAACTCATTATACTCAAATATGGTAATTCATAGAATTAGAAATGAGGTTATCACTCCCAACCAAGATTACCCCAATCGAAACGTAGCCTAATAGTCTATGAAGTATGCATTTTGTGTTTTTTTATCCTATTTTTTTTCAAATATGTCAATTTAGTCTTATTCATTTTCAATTTATATTACTTTTGGTCTAATCGAAAATGACTATGCAAATTGATTACTTGAGGTTTCCATGTGCATTTACTGTGACCACCATACTTTTCATTTAAGTTTTTATTTTGTTTGACGTATTTTTGGATTACAGGTGTGTCAAAGTTCAATTGAACTTAAAATCTAAACACGTACAACTTCACTTATTCGAATCGGCGTGAAGTTCTAAAATCATGATTGTTCAGGCGATTGTAGCGAGGTGTAATGCTACTTCCAAGTTCTTTTCTATGCTTTACAGCTCAAGGACTTTAAATAATTTTTCAATTAATAGCGAAATGGACTGAAACGTAAGAAAGATCAACAAAATTTAAAGCAGCAAGTAGACTAAATTTAGAAGATGAAATAAGTATTATACAATGCATTAAATGAAAGCAGTAAAGGATCATCGGATTGATGGATTACAAGAAAACTAAAGTCGCTCAGGAGTAAGAATGAGTGAGCACAAGGTAGGCTTTGTGAAGATTTTTATTGAGTTTGATCGTGGGATTCTTTCTCAGTGACCTGGCCTCTGTTTATTTATAAGGATGGCCTGCAACCGTGAAGCCATCTTTTTCGACCATTACAATGATCATGGCCTTTACTCTCAAGACACATGGACGTGCACTGAGTCGTCTCTAATTGGTGGTTCATGATATCACGTCTCCCCGTTTCATAGGATTTTTAGAGTCCCACTCCTCTAAACATTCTATCAATCATGGACTCTCATAGACTCATTCATGATCGTTGGATCTCTTTTATGTGTCACCCTCTGATCTTATTAATTTTAGGTGTAAATATTGCCCCTTAAAAATATGTGTTTGAATACTCCATATTTGGGGCGTCATTTTTGTTCTTTTACATTTAAGCTTTTGCCGCTACACTTGCCCTGCATGGCTGTCATCCCAATACTGGCTGTGAAACTTAGAGATTGCGGCTAATCTTCCATATGTAGTCTCTCAGTCTATCTTTTGTCTTTTCAAACCTATAAGAAATGACTTGCACATGATCCGTTTATATCTTTTCATCATTGTAATGACTCATTCTCTGTGCCTATATAATCCATCCTCAGACTTGTTGTGTCATTATTCTGACTTTCTCTTCTTCTTCTTCAATGGAGTGTCCTCCATTCGGGGCCAAGGCTAATGTTCTGCTCTCCTATACCGAGATGAGTTATACCTTCCTAACCAATACATAGAATAAGCCGATTATTGCTTATTATCTCTTCATCGTGGCCTACTGCGGCTGTGATGGTTCTTCGGTGTTGAACTAGGAATACATTTCATTCCTACTTTACTGGCTCAAGTAATTCTGTAAAATTCGGATAAATTTGAATTTTTTACAAAAAGGGGTAAAGTGATAAATTGTCACTACGGTACAGGTTGTAAACCTGAATTTTTTTAGATCTTGGATGATAAAATGGACCTCACCATTGGATTCATCTTGCAAAATCTAGCTACGCTGTCAAATTTTATCAAATTCTAAAATAGTCGAATTTTTTACTTTTTACGAGGCAGTCAAGTCTCGGGTGACCTAAAAATGAGATTTTTAATAAAATCTTGAAATTTGAAAAATAATTTGAGATAATTTAAAATAAAAATATTTTGAACTTAAATCGAGACGAAATTTAATCATATCGGGGCGAAAAAGGATCCGAAAAAAATAGGGTCGTGTGACGCGTTGTGAGCCAAGCAATTACAGGGTATAAATAGGGGGGAAATCTAATTTCTCTCCCATTGGATCAGCCGGTTCTAACGTGAGAAAGGAAGAGAGGAAAACAGGGAAAACTCTCAACTTCTCTCTACGATCTACAGAGCTCGGCTGCCCAAATCAACTCAAGCCAAGAATTAAAATCGATCTTCTCGACGAGGGCTATACCAAAAAGTGCAAGTGTTATCGAAGATCAAGGAACGAAATTTTGGAAGCTAGAGATTCTAGCTCATTTATGGTGTTGTTGAAGGTTTTTTAAGTTGAATTCACGTTTCAAGAGGTAGGGTTCCCTCCTACTTTGGTTTATTTCTAACCTAGGATATCCATATGGAATGGGTAAGTGTATAACTATATATGTCACTTGTCTATTGTTATGGAAATGATGAAATGGGTATGGAAATGACTTAAACCAATTTCTAGTTTGAATTTGGTGTAAGGAAGTTACTTGTGTAATTTCTTAGAACTTGTTAATATGTGAGCAAATTTGTGTGATAACATGACTTGGTGCCTTGAAGGTGTATGATAAATGCCTATGTGAGAATTAAGTTTGTTATGGCATGAATGATGTATGACATGCTTGAGAAAATGGTAATGGGATGAATGAGTTGATATATGTTGTTAATACATTAGCTTCATGATAAATTGTGGTAATTATATGCCTGTGACATAAATTGTCGTGGAATATGTTGATATGCAGTTTAATTGTTCATTTGACATTCATTGCATATTGGGCATGAAGTTGACATCACATTCATGGGCATTAGACATGAGTGTGGGTGTGTGTACATGGTTTAATCAAACACTAATCTTGGTGTTTGATAAGTGGACTCGAGAAGGTTAGATTGAAGATCTAGCTAAGTTGCTTGATTGCATGAAAAACTTGTGTCGGGTATAGCAAGTAGGGCTAGACTCTCCCTCGGGTGCAAGACCCGACTACTTGGTTCATACACTTTCCAGAGGTAAAATTCCAGAAAAGTGTATGGGTTTGTGGAACTTGTGGTGCTACACCAAAACTCCGTTACCCAACAAAGACACATGATTTTGTTTTATAAAAGGTCTGGTTTATACGCTCTCCTGAGGTGAAACTCCATAAAAGTGTACTTGTTTTTATAAATTAGTCATTCGATGTGTAACATCCAACAATGATTCGGTTTTGTAAACACATGACTTTTATTTTAAAATGATCATTGGATGTAATTCATCAATAACAAATTTGCTACACATTGGTATTGCATTGTGTTGCGAGAGTCAGTAAGGGCTCGGGTTAAAGTACATGAGTGAGTCTCATCTAATTTCGCGGCATGGCGTGGTAGAATTCTAACATTGAATTGCATATTCTTAATTGGAATGAATGATGCTTGTTGATTGTTGCATGTGCACATTCCATATGCACTTAGGTTGGGGAGTAGCCTCTGTAGAAGATACTCTATTGAGCGTAGCTGACCCTATACGGAAAAATATTTCAGGTGCGGGATGCATGTCGGGGGACGACTCTTATTCGGGGCCTCAAGGATGAAGAGAGGCTGACTTGTGGCCTTTAATCCGTATTTTTGTAAAACATAGTGAAAATCATGCTTTGGACATATAATCTTTTGAAAATGATTGTAATAGAACTTTTATTAAATTGTGTTTGACGTACAAGTATATGTTATATGAGTTTGGGTGGTTTGTTTGAAATTGAAAGCCGGTGAAACAGGCAAATTTGGAAAACCTACCGGTAGATCGTTGTCCAGTGGGCAACACCTATCGGTAGGACCTTGTACAGGCAAAATTTTGTATATCTGGCAAAACCTACCTGTAGGACTTTTCTAGTGGACAAAACCTATTGGTAGGTTATCCAAAAATTTAAAACTTTAAGACTGTTTTGCCATGTTTTTGGACTTTGGCTTCTTTGGTTCCAAGGATATAAATGGACATAAAATAAGTATAAATTGTGGTATATTGGACCCGTTTGGGTCAAATGACAA